TTGGTCCTCGTTAAACTACTCTACCGTAAAGTGCTCGACTTCGCGACAGATCGTCGGGCTACCGAAGCGGGGGTGCCATCCCCTCTTTAGAGAATCAAAATTGTGATGGCATGTCTTCGGATCATCCTCAGGGATGTTTCCCAGACCGTCGCCAATAGCCCATTGTGCAGTTCTAGTGCGACGTAAATGAATACAACAACATCTACGACTATATCTACATAGTTTTAATTTGATAGTTCTTTTTCAATCGGACATATTTTTCACCCTTTTATTAAGAAAATTATTATAAAAAAATAATGTGTTGAACACAACAAAAATAATATTTATAATAGACTGATTAAAAAATATGTCTAGCTCTGAGCCAAATTTATATCAATTCATTTGATTTGATTCAACTAAATTCATTTGATATCGTATTAAAGTAGTTAATTATTAATTTTCAGTTTAGATTTTAATTTCTGATAGATATTTTTATTGCTAACAATACATATTTTAATTCAGAATAGATTTTAATTATTTATACATTATATTTCAAATAATTATTTTATTTAATTTAAATTTAAATGTTTTAATTACATGATAAAGCATTTTTATAGCATTGATGAAAATACTTTTACTTGACAAAACAATTATACTACATAGTATTGTGGTATTGATTTAGAACACAAGAAAAGTTTATTTTTATTACTGCGATGGAAGAGAAAAATTAATTTTTAATTTTGTAAGTTCAGAGCTACCATTAATTCTTAGTGAAAACATTATATTAATAAAAGAATATAGTTTTAAAATCAATTTTATATTTTATAACCGTCGTTGAACAGCCGACCCAATTTTTTTGGGTTTACGATTACTAATGTTCAACTCAGTATCCTTGTGATTTTGAACCAATCCAGAAGAGTAGGAAACTCCTGGATCAGTACACCCGGAGGAATTATTTGTTATATGAACACAGAAGACTTTGCGACCCAACAGATTTAACGTACATCAGTCACCATTTACTACACGGGGAGTCATCGCTCAGCGGGTGTCAAGACCATGACCTGATGGACATGGATCCAGTGTCCTACCAACCAGGCTATCCCGGCCTATTCTATTTGTAAAATTTATTTCATTAATTTTAATAACCGTCATTGAACAGCCGACCCAATTTTTGGATTTACGACTACTAATGTTCAACTCTGTAGCTTTTTAATTTTGAACCCAATATAGGAGACAAGGAAACTTCTGGATCAAGTATTGGGAGAAATTTAGCCTTCGTAGAGGACTTTTTGCTAGAACTAAACCGCATTTGCGTTACATGGAGAGGAAGACCACGAGAACCTCCCACGGATAGCCAGACAGTAAGGGAACTCCAGTCCATGATCTGTCTACCACTGAGGAAATTTCACTTCAGCATTGTGGTCGGTGCAAGCCGGATAAGGAATTTGTATCGACCAGCCTTTGCGGAATCGAATCCCGGTTCAAATCATTGGAAGGCGAACGCTCTATCTCCTGAGCCATCGCGGTTCATGGATCAAGTATTGAAAGAAATTTGCCTTCCTGGAGGACTTCTTGATAAAACTAACCCGCATTTCCGTTGCATACCATCAGCAAAAACATAGTTTGAAATGGCCGAGTATGAAAATTATAAATTAATATTAAAGGGAGTTACGGGGCGTTTCGAATGCGTAGCGTCGGAACCGAAATTTATCCGTTTTTTAGCTATTATTCATTCTTTTCAAGAGAAAAATAGTTATTTTTTTTATATAGAACACTTCATTTACTTGATTATTATATTATATTTTATTTTTTTAAATACTTTTTCAATATTTTAAAGTGAATAAACTGTTCTATATATAAAAAGAGTTATTTTTCTCGATTAGAGTTATTATTCAAACTCGGCCCGAAATTAGAGTCAAATGTACTGAACAATTGCACCCGAGGACTTTTTTATAGACGAAAATGGGTCAAAATAAGTTTTGTTGACTAGCCGGGAAAAGGTGCTTTAAGCTAAATATTATCGGGGCTGGCATGAGAAACATGGCGCAGCTGGTAGCGCTCTGGGCAAGGTTGATATGTAGTCCCGGAGGCTCTGGGTACGAAACCTTGCGATGATCGACGTTCAAATTTTTTTAAATTATTTTTTTAATATATTTTTCTATATTTCAACGTAAAAAAAGTGTTCTGTGTATAAAAATAACTATTTTTTTTATAACGGCTAATAAACGGATAAATTTTGGATAATTTTTATTTATTTATTTATTTTATATTATATTATATTTTTAACTTCTTTCTCAATATTTTAAAGTGAATAAAGTGATCTATATAAGAAAAGAATTTTTTTTCCTTGTTAAAGAACAAATAATGGCTGAAAAAGAGACAAAAGTCGTATCAGGAGGCACGCACACATCACACCCCGTAACTCCCTATAGTATTAACGTATAAATTTCAAACTCCGCCAGAAATTAGAATTTAATGTAACAAACAATTGTACCAAAGGAATTTTCTAACGACCAATTAGTGGGCCCACAATGAGCCAAACTAAGGTTTGTTGACTAAATTGGAGGTGGTGTTTCTCATCTGAATATTCGCGGGGAGAAGCGTGGCAGAGTTGGTAACGCTGTGTGCAAGGCTGGTGAGCAGTCCCGCAGGTCCTGGGTTCGAAACCCTGTGAGGGTCAACTTTAATTTTTTTTTATTTATTTTATATTATTTTCTTAAATATACTTTTCGATATTATAACGTAAATAACGTGTTCCGTATATAAAAATAACTATATTTTTTTTTAAGAAATAGCGAATAATAGCTAATAAACGGATAAATTTCGGATAATTTTTACTTATTTATTTATTCCATTTTATCTTATTTTTTTGACTTCTTTTTCAATATTTTTAAGTGAATAAAGTGTTCTATGTATGAAAAGAATTTTTTTTTCTTTGTTAAAGAGCGAATAATGGCTGTAAAACCGACAAAAATCGTATCAGGAGGCACGCACACATCACACCCCGTAACTCCCTATAATATTAACCTATAAATTTCAAACTCGGGCAGAAATTAGAGTTTACTGTAACAAACAACTGTACGGAAGGAATTTTTTATATACTAATTAGTGGGCCCACAATGGGCTAAAATATATTTTGTTGACTAACCGGGAGTAGGTGTATTTAGCTAAATATTCGCTGGGCTGTCCTGTGAAACGTGACGCAGTTGGTAGCGCTGTGTGCAAGGCTAATAAGCAGTGCCGGAGCTCATGGGTTCGAAACCCTGTGAGAATCAACTTCAAATTTTCTTTTATTTATTTTATATTATTTTTTTAAAAATAATTTTCGATATTATAACGTAAATAAAGTGTTCTGTATATAAAAATAACTATATTTTTTTTAAGAAATAGCGAATAATAGCTAATAAACGGATAAATTTCGATAATTTTTACTTATTTATTTATTTTATTTTACATTATTTTTTTGACCTCTTTTTCAATATTTTTAAGTGAATAAAGTGTTCTAAGTATGAAAAGAATTTTTTTTCTTTGTTAAAAAGCGAATAATGGCTGAAAATGGGGCAAAAATCGTATCTTGGAGCACGCACACATCACACCCCGTAACTCCCTATAATATTATCTATAAATTTCAAACTTGGCCAGAAATTAGAGTTTAATGTAAGAAACAATTGTGCAAAAGAAATTTTTTATAGACTAATTAGTGGGCCTCCAATGGGCCAAAATATGTTTTGTTGACTAACCGGGAGTAGGTGCATTTAGCT